TGGCTCCTCTCTATTTATTAGTCCCAGTATCTACTGAATTAACATGCATGAGTCCCAAAATAAGCACACAGCAGTGCCTTGCCTGCCTCCTGTGGCCCAATTCATTCCAAGTTTTGCTACGTGGCTATGATGGTATCATTCTACTCTGCCTCAACTGGCATACATGTTTAGAAAGAGTTCAGCAAAAGCTGCAACCTCAGCCTTCTCCACAAAAGCCCACCAGAAAAATCACTTGTTAATGGGGCAGCACACAGCAGCAGAGGGCAAGATGCCTGAATTTTTGCTCTAGTTAGGGCCACTTTCACAGCTAACATCTATGATAGTGAGATGCAGATGGAGGTGGCTGCTCTGGAGCACTGCAACCCACCTCTAGCTCTCTAAAGAAAGATCCAGCTGTCCTTCTTGCACGCAGAGTGCTAAATATGGCAAAGCTGCAACCTTCAGCAATATCACAAGAAGAAATATAAACCCAACAAAACACAAAAATACAGTTTTTGAAATATATTCAATCATCTATAAAAATAATTCCGTGAGGTTTCACTGATTGTTTTGCATAATAGAGCCCTTAATAAGTTTTTATTTCAGACGCTAATTTCTTCCTCATTCCAATTTGAAAACATGCTGATTGAAATAATACTGAAGCTGCTCTTTTGCATGATTACACACAACTGCTCAAAATTGTTGGTTTCAAAGTCTTCAGACCCCAGATATCAAGTACACCAACAGGCAAACACTGGTGGAAAAAGATGTGAAAATGTAGGCAAGCAGTCCCCCAGTAGCTTAACCCACAACAGCCAACTATCGCAGAAGGTACTGTGTTATATGATAACAGATTTTGAATAACTGTAGCATATATTCTGAATACTTAGCAGCTACTTCTATTGTGAAAACAGACATAAATATTACAAATAACTTTGCCAAGGACTTAAAGAATGGTAAATTCTCCTGTGTTTGGATCAGAAGCCGTTCTTTCATTGAGCTTGCCTTTTCCTTTTTGTCATCCAGTCTGTTTTATCTCTGTTTTATCTTCAGTGTTTTTTGGTGTATAGATGATAATGATCCAGAGAATCTAAATTACAAATATATCTAAATTACAGGACCTCACTGTCACTCCTAACAGTCATCCTAACCTGAATGCATGCTGTAGTATTGGAGATGGATTTTTCTGGATTCTCTCTCGAAAGCTGTAGTACAAAGACTTTCAGAATTCATCTGGACATACTGCTCACAGTCTGCTTATTTTTCGGATGCCACTGGTAACACTGAGATTGTTAAAAGCTTTGTCCCAGGCAGATAGAGTCAATCAGGAAGGACAGGCAGTCTGGGTACTGAAGATACCAGCCACCTGAATCCATCAAGCAAATGCTTTTACCCCTTACTCCCATAGGGAAATGCTAAGATGCAAAAGCCATTTATACTTCTATACTCTTTCTGTCAGGTTGCCTCGCTGTAAAATCCCACAGTGTTATTATAATGCTGAAAAAAATCACAAAAAACAAACAAACAAACCCCCAAACCCAAAAAAACCCTCCAAAACCAAACAGGTGCAGTTTTGACATCTAACAACACAACACAAAAAATGCCAGTGATATGGAAGTGTACCTCTGTGTTTTCAAATATTTCTTTCCTACAGCCTTCCTGAAACAGCTATCACATTATTTGAAAACTCCAAAAAGAATGAAGAGTTCTTTTCTTTTTTCTTTCCTTTTTTTTTCCTTTTCCCTCAGATGTGGGGTTCTTTGCAAATGTATCCTGTGTTGTTACAAGTAATATTCCAGTCAGAACCATAACTAATTATTTGTAGATATCACCTAAAATATTTTACTTACAAACTTACCATGACCCCACTCACAGCTTCATTGCCAGAGAGCAGCAGAAAATATTTCTACCCATTACATAGGCATGTAGTGAAACTCAGGATTAAGTGATGTGCTTAAGACCATGTAAGAAATGTGTTAGATAGCAGGCAACTAAATCAGTCTCCCAAGGTCCAGTTCTGTGCCTCCTAAAATCTTTTCTTCTTTTCCAGCTTACAAGTCCACGTCATCACTTCAACCACTTCCATCTCAGTTGTGCTGTGTTTCTTTTTAAATGAATTGCATTCTCCCCAAGTTAGCAGGTTGGAACAGGACGTGGTGGCTGAGAAGTAAACCTGTGCTTTGTAAAGAGATAGCTCACTGTCCACAGACAAGCACAAAACACCCCCCTTATGTCAAAGTCAGCTACTCAAAAAGTGTCTTCACTGAACACAAGAGAAACAACTCAGTTGCCAGAGTTACTGTTATGCCCTGCTTCCTTCCCTCCACTGCAGTAACTGGTTCAGTATCATTTCAACCATGCTTACAGCCAAAGTTTTGACAGCAGCTTTGCCCCATTGATGGGACATGCAGACTCATTAAACATTGTGTTTTACTTCTGGACCCATTAGTCATAGAATCATGGAATCATGGAATCATAGAATCACAAGGTTGGAAACGACCTGCAAGATCATCTAGTCCAACTGTCCTCCCATTACCATTGCTACCACAAACTAAACCAGATCTCACAGCTCCTCATCCAGACGCCTCTTGAACACCGCCAGGGACGGCGACTCCACCACCTCCCTGGGCAGCCATTCCAGTGCCTGACCACTCTCTGAGAGAAAAAGTTCTTCTTATGTCTAATCTAAGCCTCCTCTTGTGCATCTTATGGCCATTTCCTTGGGTCCTGTTTGCTGCCTGGGAGTTGAGGCCAAACCCCTCTTCATCACGACCTCCTGTCAGGAAGTTATAGAGTGCAGTGGGCCTCCTGTGAGCCTCCTCTTCTCCAGACTGAACAATTCCAGTTCCCTCAGCTACTCCTCATAAGACCTGTGCTCCACATCCCTCACCAGCTTCATTGCCCTTCTCTGCCCTTTCTTGAAGTGAGGGGCCCAAAACCGAACACAGTGCTTGAGGTGCTAAGTACAAGGGGAAAGCAGCTGACTCCTCTTCTCCTTGTTGCACTTTCGTTTTGTGGCTTTTGCTCACGTAACTCCATGTGTCTCTCAGTGTCAGTTATATTCTATTTCTGAAATCCAATGGAAAGAGATCATCAAACTGCAGCTGGACAATAAGCCCAAAGTGCTACAGGATGTGCAGCATACCTAAAAATAATACCTTTCTGTTTGCCCTTGCAGTGCTAATATCGGAAAGTCCTTATTCTGGCAAAACCACAGTGGATGCACAGCAGATAAAGAAACAAGGAACCGTCCACTCCTCTTGTCTTGGTGTCATTTCTGTTCAAGTCACTTAATGCCATCACAAGTCAGGACCACAAGATTTGTCTCCTTGGAGGCACAAACAGCACGCATCCAGCTTTCAGAGTGGTTTCTGAGCCTCTGGTCAAGTCTTGTGTGAGACGTCTCTAATTTCCCCTGAGTCAAGATGCTCAGATGGGTCTTCTCACAGAATGTCACTGATACCTGGAAGGAGTCTAAGGGAAAATATTTCTTCATACGAACAAGGAGCTACCTGGAGAGAGCAATATGAAGTAAATGCAAACAGTAACATATAAGGCATTCACACAGCTTTTCAAACACAAGCAGCTTCCTGCAATGAATACTAAGTTGCTTTCCTCACAGCAGAGTTTTTGTAAAAAAGTCCTGTAAAAATGGCCACAGCCTTTTTCAGCCACAGACAGCTTATTTCTTGGCTGCATCAAAAAACCACTGAGCCAGATGGTTAAAAAGAAAGCCACTAGGAATGAAGGTTTAACAAAAAGAAAATAGTCCAGAATACAAATAAAGAACTGAGAAGCAAGTGAGGTGCTATGTAAACCTACAGTTGAGGACAACAGCTGGCAGAAAATGAATTTTAAACTCACCCTATCGCTGCCCTATGGTATGCAATCCACTAACCATATTAGAATTCATGTCTGTGATGCTAAGTGCTCTCCAACAAGAAGTGTCACAGAGCACAGCCTTTTTTCCTTAAAAAAAAAGACACCAACTATTTCAATTTGCCCTTCTTACTTGTGTTTGAGTGACCTTGAAATCCTGAGGCACTCTCAGAAATTCTGCATCCATTGAAGACTTTTTACGAGCTTTTATAGGGTTTCAGCCATGCCTTTACTGCAGGATCCTCAAGCCTTTGGTCCCTTATGCTGTGTATTTCTTCTTAAAGAAGATCAGCAGGTTTAGAGTCTTAAAACATTGTTGTAAGTACTCAGGATAGCAATCACTTTGAAGTACTTCAGAAAGGGCCACAGGACACACTGTGCACCCCTCTGTGCTGGGTATCTTAGTGTCTCTGGAGGGTGCTGCTTGTTCTGCTAGCAGGACATCTGCCACACAGTCTCCCACGGATGGAATGAAGCAACTGCCCCAGGTCTGTGTGGATATGAGACCATTCCTGGGACCAACGTTCCACTTGACCTCTAGCTGCAGGGAGCACAGGGAAACACAGGCTGTTTGGAAGCATCCTACTGAAAACCCACAGGTCTTCCCAGTCAATGCATGGCTGCTGGGGCAAAGGATTCACCTCCCTGGTTGCTTCTCACCAGGGTGTCACAGCTATGGAAGGTGCCACGCAAGGATGGGCAGTGCCAGATAGATTGGGCAGCATGGCCAGGCTGTGCAAGGCTTGCTCTGTAGTGCAAAATTCTTTTGGTTCACTGAAGATATTGTTTCACTGTCCTACTGCATGAGCCAGTATGGGTGGTTCTCTTTAATGGGGCTGTTTTATAATACATGAGTTTCTTATTGCTAATGGCCATCTATTTTGCCATTGTAGGTAAACTGTGGGCTATTACCCTGCGGTGAGTTGGCTTGGGAAAATAATGCCCTATTTATAGAAAAATATAAGAGGTGATACATTCAATGTTTCTTTAAAAAAGATTAGCCATTGCTTAATTTTCCTTCTTGCCTTCAGCTAAGGGAGAGCTTTAAATCACACAGAAGTTGAAAAGAAAAGAAGGTTAATGAAGGCGTTTTGGGGGACGCCAAGAACATTTGAAATTATTTTCATCTTTCTTATTTGCAGACAGAGATGACAACATCCACTGTACGGTCAGAACACTTCTGTGCCTCTCCCATCTCCATTTCTGCCTGGAGGCAGGATCTGGTGGCCGCTGCCTCTTTCCGCATCGCTGCGTTTCTTCACGACTGATTTCCCCTCGTGGCACAGTGACAGGTATTGTATGAAGCCCAGTGGAGCTGTGAGACTGTGGCTAGATTTTTTAACAGATTTCTCAACCGTGCCTGCTCTGCTGAGCATTGTTGCTTTCCTGCTACTCAACAGAGCGTGAGCGATAAGGGCGGGACAGCAAAGCACGCAGCCACCACAGGCAGCTTCAGCCTCTTCTTCTGCAGACAGAAGCTGCAATTACATTGTATTCCCATGTGGTCCGTTGATACAATTTGTTTCAGTGTATGTAAATAGCAACCAGCTACCATGGGTATGGTGATATCAGATACTAAAAATACACTGAAGTGGCTTTTGGACTTACTGCTGCATACTAGGAAGGAAATTCATCTCCTGAATTTAATTCCTTACAATCACTGCAACATTCAGAAGAATATTAAAAAGATCTTTAAGCAAAGTCCTCAAATTGTGAAGTCAAAGACAATGTGAATGACAGGGTACTCATTTATCTTCCCTAACCCATGCTGTCCTAGCAGGCAAGAGATCAGACACAGGATTTACAAGCTCCAGGCCTGTTTTGTTTCTGTCTGCTATATGACCTTGTGCAGACCATGGAAATACTCCTAGAGAGTCCTGCAAAGAATTTAGTTGTATTGTAATGGTTACTCTCCCTCTTTCCTCTTTCTTCCCTGAACTGCTGTGGCTCTTTTTTTTTTTTTTTTTCTTTCTTTTTAATTCTATAAAATCTGGTTAGGAAAAAACCCCAAACATAGAATCATAGACTCATCTGAGCTGGAAGGGACCCTTAGCAGCCATCTGGTCCAATTTTCCTGCAATGAACAGGGTCACCTACAGCTAGATCAGGTTGCTCAGAGCACCATCCAGCCTCAGCTCGAATGTCTCCTAGGATAAGGCATCCACTACCTCTCTGGGCAGCCTGTGCCTGTGCCTCGCTGCCCTCATTGTGAAAATCTTCTGCCTTATGATCAATCTAAACCTCCCCTCCTTTAGTCTGAAATCATTTCCCTTTGTCCTATCACAACAGGTCCTGCTAACTGTGTGTCCCTCTCTTTCTTATAGGCCCCCCATTAATGATATGTATAATTATCAGAAATATTTCTCACCCTTTACCAATTTCTTTTTAAAATCTTTTTATATTAGATGTCTTTATTACACTCCTTCTGCAGCCATTTGCCTATAGAATATTGCCATTACCTTTGAGAAGTTGTTTCCCCTTAATCATTACCTTCTATTTAAAACCTCAGAACTTTGATTAATCATTAGGAATTCTCAGAGTATGTTTTTTTAAAAAACCAATCCTCTCCTTTCAAATCATCTCTTACTTGCTACCTACTGTAAACAATCTGCTCACTTCTATGATGGTAGGTGCTGACATTCTATCTGGCTGAAGTTTGCTGCTTGGATCCTTAGTGATTCAAACCTTTTGCTCTCCTCTTTTCAGTGCATCCTTTCTACAGTGCACTGAATTGAGCTACCCTAGAAAAGCAGTGTGACAGTCTCCTTGCTGCTCCCACATCCCCAGAGGATTCCTGTGGCTTGATTCCCAGTGCAGAACATGTACTAAGCAGCTCAGCGGTGCCCTGCAGGAAACACTGTGTTGCTTCCATGGGTGACATAGTAGACATGCCTTTGAAACTTTGGGTGCTTCAGTACAGTCTCTGATTCTTTTTGTTCTATATTTATGTTTTGATTACAGCCTCTTTTCCATTAAAAACGAGTTCAGGACCCAAGGGCAGAATCAGAACTCTGGCTGAAATTCACTAACATCAGTTCTGTAACATCTCAGTCTTTTTTTTTTGTTGTTGTTGTTAAACTTTAAAAAACAAACATTAAAACATTTCTTTAAGCTAAATGAAGTTTATGCTTTAAGCTTCCTTGGGTAGCTACATGAGATGTTACCTCACAAGTTCCAATTATTTTCTACAAAAATCTCTCTTCTCTTTTCACATCATAATTGTCCCCCTTTCTGGCACTGAAGAACAATTTCAAAACACAAAACAAAACCAACATGAATAAAAACAACTCATTTCCTCTTAGGATTTCACTGCATTTTCAGCCAGTCTAAGATTCCGGGTGGCCTCATTTGGTGGTGCTGAGGAATGGGGATGCTGCTAAAGGCAGTGCTGCACGCTGCAAACAGGAGGTGGCTGGCTTGGGTTGGGTTGGAGTCAGTTTAGTTTACTTGAACTCAAAGAGCAAACTGGGTTGTGACCAGCATTTCTCAAACTTACCGTCCAACATCTTTTAGAGCAGTGCAGCAAGGCAACATTTCAGCATTTAAACACACTGCCCTGAACAAACAGTGCTGTGCAGGGAGGCTGAGTTTTCACTTAGCCAGTAAAAGAAAAGTGAGCCAACCAACCAACGCAAGAAACTTACATCATGCTAAAATCCAAACCAAACGTCATGCATTTTATCTTCACCTATTCTCCTGGTTTTGGTTGTATCATGAAATTCTCTTTGGAGATGCTGCTCATTTACTTAATTTCACTGATCTTCTCAGTCTTTTCATACATTCAGAAATCACAGTACCCAGAAAGGTTCATATATTTTCTTTGGGACGCTTTTTATTTTATTTTTTGCTACAGTATTTAAATTACAAGCTTGGGTGATGGTTTCAAACACAGTTATTTACTCCTTTTGCTAAAGAAGCTAGATTTGTTACAAATAGTTATTAGTCCTTTCAGATGGTCTTGGCTTTACATTATGGTACAAAATAGGCAAACATATTTTCCTGGGAGGGTAGCATCCCCTTTGGTTATCAAGTGCAGTCACACAGGAATTTGGACTTCTGACCTACTCCACTCCTTTGATATTTCAAGCTTGCCCTTTACCCACAGAAATCCTTAAACAAGAGTTTCCCCTCTGGTCAGACTACTTCCCACAGTGTGCCACCAGCACTACGTGTTTTCCAAGTATGAAAGCAGAATAGTAGAAAAACATTCTAAGACATGAGCCGTGTCTAGATTGCAAATCTCTGCTGGCATGTCTGGGCTGTGGAAAATGCTTCCTCATCTGCACTGCTTAGAACCAGACTGTGGTACAGCACAGCTATGCTACAGCACAGCGTTCTTCCTGCGTACTTCACATTGCTTGGGGTGAGGGTGCTAATTATGCCATCAGAAAGCTCTTTTTGGCTCTGTGCACTGAACGCACATTGAGAGCCTTGTTGGTTTTGATCTATTGCAAGCATTTCTCTAAAATCATTACACTGAGAGGATAAACTGGAAGATGGGGTTTCTGATGGAGAGTGGCGGGTGGTAAGTGGCCACAGCTTTCACCTTCAAAGGCAAATAATCAACCTGACATCCAGTCATCTTTCTAGAAATGAGTTTTAACTAATATTGTATTGAACCGTTCCCTGAATTTTCCTAGTGACTACAAATGCTTTTACAGTGGTCTGTTTCTCCTACTGCCAAGCAGAACAACTATCTATCCAGTGAAAACTTAAATGCAAAGGGCTTTACAATGCACAAAAGGGAAGGAGAAAGCTTCTACTCTTTTCTTCCTACTGTAACAGTCTTAGCTGTTGCTCAGCATTAGTTGACCACAAACTCCTCGGATGAGGATAACTGTTCAAGTCCCTTTGGCTTAGATTTCCCTGACCAAGGTTCTGATCCCTGGGGCCACCCAGATGGAAGTTAATGCCACCAGCAATCAAAAGGGAACAGAATACACAGGAGAGCCAACACCTGGCCCACCTGCACGCTCTCTGCATTTCAAACGAAGCACATTTTTTATGGTTGATCACCACAAGTCTGATAATGTAGTGCAGACTATGCAAACCATACTGACAATTGTCAGGCAAAGCAAGAATCAGTGCCATCATCTTCTCACAAAGGAATGCCAACAGAGATCAGATCCAGACTTGAGCACTTGGTTGCAACAGCTCAGAAGAGGAGCCTGGTAGCCCATGCGTGTGTGCCCCATCTGCTCCCCCAGATCCTGGCAGATCCTGCAGCAGTGGCACCTGGGCACAGGCCTGGAGGCTGCAGAGGTGCTCACACTGCAGTGCAAATACAAGGCAGCTGGGCCACATGGAACACCTGGCTGCTCATTCTTCCTCCGGTGTGTGCAGGTGAAGCGGTGCCCTTCCTTTCCGTGATCTTCTCACTGGCAGTTCTGCTGATATTAGTGAGACTCTGCACTGGGAACACAACACAAAGTTGCCATGCCAGGATTCAGACCACAGATTTCCTCTGAACTGCTTATCAAAAATTGCTTTGACTTTAAATAGCTTTACCGTTCTAAATAAAATAATTATTTTTAAATAGTTCTAATTAAACGAACCTAGAAGTAGAAGATCTTTGATCTTCATATCTGATATACCTTTGAATAAATAGTTCTATATATACCTCTTGACTTTTTGGTGAGGAAGTGCACAAAAACTTAAGCAGATTTTTAAGCTGAAATCAACCGTTGTCATTTAGAAATAAACTTAATATCCTGAAACACTCAACGGGAAGTTACAGAAATGCAAAATATATTCTAACTACATAATCACTATAAATATATCTTTTAAGTGAATGCATGCTTTTAATTACTCTGTGAGCAAATTACCAAAAAAGAAAAAAATTAAGATTTTCTTTAAAATAAAAACTAAATAAATACATAAACCAGGATTTAAAATAATAAACTGAACCAGCCAGTAACTCTTTAAAATACAAAAGCATCTCTCCCTTTCTCCCCTAGATCAGTCCAGCCTTACAATGCTCTGAGGCAACCAGCAGAAAAGACACCAAACTGCAGTTCTAAGCTACGTTCTGAAAACAAACGTTGTCACGAATTGAGGCATTTTAAATTTACTGTTTAATAAAGAGCTGCCACACGAGGCTTCCTAAGGTATCAACTAAGCCTCGGCAGTGAGAACTGAAAAAGAAATCGTATGTGCAGTTTGTTTCAGAAAAAGCGTGGTTTTAACTTTTGCTTTAAAATCCTGTTAAGCATAACAGAGCATTAGGAACAATCAAGCTTGCTAGTAGAGGGACAGTTGGCTCGCAAATGCCAGAAAGCACGATCGTTTAATGTTACAACTCTGAGCGACGCCTCGAGGATTCCACTTGGTGGTACTTTACAAAATAAGCTGGACCTGAAGGTGCTGCACTGTACGTTAGTGAGCTGGAAACCATGGAGCGGAGTGAAGCGGACCCCCTGCAAACTGCTGTTTCCTGAGGCGCGAAGGACTCGTCTCACACAAGGCCTGCAGCAGGGCCAGGCCAACGGGCTCTGTGCCAGGACAGCTGCTGCGTTCGGACCACAGCGCGGACCGAGGGCCTGCGTTGCCAGTTCTGACCTTCACCGTCACGTAGGTGTCTCTCTCATACACCACCCAGGAAGGGCTGAGCACCAAGTGATAGAAACAGCCATTTAAAATGACTCTTTTTACTGATTTAAATTTGTTTGTAGAGCTGGTAGAAAAAGAGAGCAGATTTTACAAGTCTCGGAACTGGAGGGCAAATAGATGCAAATGTGCTTTATCTGCTGGAACGCGTGCCCTGGACTACCGAGAGGCTGTGGGTCTGCAGCGAGCCTCTGAGCACCTTCTGTTGGATCAGTTCCACTGTACGTTAGGAACTCACTGGGTGAGAGGCCGCAATCACACAGTCCAGCGATCCTGTGCTCCTCCGGGGTGTAGGGAATCAGACATGAGCCCTAATTGCAGTATGTATTCACAGACAAAGGCAAGGATCATTATTCCCCACTTACGGAGGAGAAACCGAGGCACAAAGTGATTACTGTAAGTCAGTGACACAGCTGGGCAGAAATCCCAGCCAGCCTGACACCTACAACCAGGTGCTTTAGAACTGGCCGAAGCCACTCTTCTATTAATGTGAATAAGTTACTGAACATCTTGCTCCTTTCTCTGCATATAGGGAGACCAATGATTTCTTTTTTATCCTCCTCTTTCTAAAACAGCCCGCACAACACTGGGAGTAAAGTTCCAGGAAACAATGTGAAATCTGCCAGCAGATTTATCCCACACATGATGTTCCCCATATGCTGTAAGGTGCAGGTCGGCCTGTTATCACTGAATGGGGGCTCCGTGAATGCTGCTGCATTCTTCTCACTCCACGCAAATTATTACATGGCTCACTGGGAGAATTAAAATGGAGAAAAATAGTAAGACTTAGAAGAAAAATAATGTTTTCATAAAACACAGACTTATTGCGTGATAGTTGGAAGCAACACCTTTGCACAAACAGCTTTAAATCAGAGCTGTTCTTTCACTAAGCTGTCAGAGATTGCTTACACAATATGTGGTAATGGGAGAGCGTATAGAAGACAGTTAATTTTCTTCTTTCCTCTTCAGTTGCTCAAGCTGTTGAAAAGCTGCTCGTCTAATCTTAAAAGGATGTAGAGAATGACTTGTTATTCTTCCATACCACACTGCTACGGCTTAAGATGTGAACAGTTTGCCACCTGATTGCTAAAAGGGAATTTTTCTCAATTTCTAAATAACAGTGTAAGTACATCATCAGATGCACATCACCTGCAGGTGGCAAGTGTTACAAAGAACTGAAATCACAGGTTTTTTAATAGCCTCTCCAGCAACCGGTGGTGAGCTCAATGTGCTGTCTCAGTCTATTTCAGCTACGAGAAGGCAATCCAGTGCTTAAGTTCTTCCACACGCTGCAGTATCTGGGTATAATAGAAATCCATGTTGGCTGCAAAGTCTTTACACACTGGGGATTCCATGTCACCAAAGGTGCAGTACAATGCAGTTCCTCCAATGCTAAGGAAAACGGTTGCTATGCACAGCAGGATCAGCAAAATACAGGAGCCACCAGCTACTTCATCTGTGAGCAGAAGAAAAGAAAAGGTGAATGAGAGACCAGACAAAGCAACATGAATGTGAATGTGCCACAGTTTTACCAGTATTCTGTATCATGACATCATGTGACAGACTATTGGGTACAGAGGCACACTGCACTGCGGAGCTGTGTTTCCTGGTTTCTCTAGCAGCCTCACATGAATTCTGACTCTCCAAGAGGAAGATAAGCTGGGACGCTCTGCATTTCCCAAATCCATGTGATTTTTGACTCTGGGTGATGGGGGAAGAGTTCTCTGATCTTTTCTGGGAGGCAAGCCGTGAGGAGCCTGCCCATAAAGACTCAGACTGACATCACTCCTCCAGCTTTATTTTTGGTTCGTTTTCATTGATTACTCTTAATTATTCTGTATTAATTCACATTCCTTTTAATAAATCCTATTGGTTTTTTTTTTTCTTCTTCCTTCCCCCCCATTTTTTCTCCCAAGGGGACGGAGGGTGTTGTGTGATTAACTCTTCAAAATGTGACTATGAGAAAACCTGAGATTTGTTTCAGAAACCTAAATAATTATGCAGTGCCTTTTCTGCAAACCCATGTCCCTGTCCTTGCTTGTGTCACTTGTGGAATCAATCCATACTGAGGTTTAACAGATTTGAACGAGAGAATGTTGCACAACCAAAGCCTTCCTTCCTGGAAATACCTGAAAGGAAATGAAAGCTTTGAAATTAAAACAGATGTGAATGTTCTTCCTTCACTCGTACTGCCACTGACTGGCCAGATGAACTGATTGTATTTACTCTCACGTTTTGACTGTAAGAGTGGAGACAAAACCTTCACAGAAGCCCACTGTGAAGGGTTACTTTACATCACTGTTATCTGTGGTAACTCTTTGCAAGACTCTTTATTGCAATGAGGATGCTGCAGCTGTGTTGCTGCACCCTCACTACTTTTTCTTCACAGGCTGTTTCCGTGATCAGCACCTGCCTTTTCTGTCAGGCTCTAAGAAAATTTCTGAGCTTCTTTCATCCGTCAGAAGCGGAAATGGGGGGAAAAATAGAAGCTTTTTTTTTTTTTTATAATTTGATTTAAAATGATAATAATGAAAACCAGCTTCCCTTCTGAATCACCAAATCCATGCAGAAACAAAAATAATGTTAAAAAGGTAACTGCTGTAATTGTATGTACAATATAGTTTTTTTCTAACTATTTTCAAGAAAAAAAATGTGACTAGGCAGCAAATGGATTTTCCTTTTTGTGTGTGAGACATGTCATGAAGTGTTCAAATTCTGCTCAGTTTCTCTAGCAGACTGTACTCAAGTATTATGAAACTACTCCAGCACTGCAACACAGCCTTGGGCTTTAGTTAAAATGATCTTAGGGCAAGACAGTAAAGTATGGAAGGCTTTTGCAATCTAGAGCTCTCTCTCTCTCTCTCTCTCTCTCTCTCTCTCTCTCTCAAAAAAAAACAAACAAACAAACAAAAAAAAAACAAAAAAAAACAACAAAAAAAGAAGAAATGAAAGAAAAATACCAAATCTCTGAGCCTGAAATGACTCAAGAGCATTAGAGTTGCCTCAGCTACTAGAGACCACTGAAGCTAGACAACCTTTTCTCATTTCAACTTTAAAAAAAGCAAGGTGCAGTGTACAGTGAACATTCGCTGAGCTCTTGAGAACCAAATTGAGCACCACTTGCACGCTGAGAGCACATGCTGTGAGTTAGCAGTATTAGAATACCTTGATCAAAAGTGTCTTCCATTTCTTGGAACCGGACCCTTCTCTTTGTTTGCCTTTGCTGGACTTGGGCAATTGTTTTTCCATCCGTGTCATCTCTCTTCTTTAGTATAGACACCAATCCTTCTGCTGGGGCAATCTATTGGGAAAGATTACGAAAAACCATTTGACAGTGATTGGCACAACAGATGTGAGAAATTAAAGCATAAGATCTTCTTAACAAAGACTTTGAGGAGCAAATGAGAGAAATAGAAAAGAAATGGTTGCTACTCTGCTTTTCTTAAACATCGCAGTACTTGTGAAACTCTCTTCTTGAACACAGAATTTCACAGCATGAAGGAAAGCTGCAGTACCATTCTGCTGTATAGAAGGGGACTAAGATGACAGTGTTTGCTTTTGGTCACTATCAAAGTTAAACATGCAATGAATTCTTAGTATGATCTAAACTATACATTAGCTCCTTCATGTCATTAAATCATGGGGGTTGGGGCAGTGGGCTCCAGCCAAAACCACTCTCAATAGAGGACAGTAACAGGTCAAAGACACCACAGCTGCCTTTCCAAAGACATAATCCTGCAGAGCCTATCAAATACTTATTGTGAGATTAATTTTTCAGCATTGTGATTGGTTCCCCAAGGGAGAAAACAGGCCATAGCAGAGGACAAACAAATAAAAACACCAGGGGAAGAAGAAATCTGTGCTTTCGGATAAACGTCAGCTCCATATTGTTATAAACTCTCTGGATAAAGCACCAGTTCCAAAATGCTTCCCTGCAGTGATACGTTCAATAAGTCATTAATTGTCCCTTCCTACTTCATTTGATTTAGCTGCAGTAGTATATACTTTTTTCCCACAAAGCCATGTTAAGACATTAGATCAAGGAGAAGTTCATAATTTCCTTATGATTAGAGGAAGAAAAATATTAGAAATATTAGAATAAAAATGCATAATGGAGAATTGAGAATGCTGTCATGAACTGGCACTGTGAAGATCCTCGGCCAAATGAATTAGTACTGATGACCCTGTGTGTTTGACCCTCTAAACAAAGCGTAAGTTACCATTTTCCCCAACAAAACTTTCATCGGTTAAAAATACAAACCAAACCACCTTTCTTTGTAAAACTGTTTGTGTCCAGAAAATTTTTTTCCTAATTACATATCAGAAAATGTTTTTCCTTGTTACAGCAAATATACCAACTAGATCCCTACAAACAAAAGTAGCAGCCAATTTTCTGAAGTCAAAGAAAACAGAAACAGAAAAAGAAACACTTTGAGTTGAAACAGTAAAGCGAGGGACAACATTAATGCAAAGGTACGTGCTATAGGTACAGAACTGTTCTTATTACATTCAACTATCCCATTGTTCTTCCATTTCTGCCAAACATGGATGCAATGATACAAAAGAAAAGGTCTTCAACAAGCAGAACTTAGGTGAGCAGTATACAGGAACATCTGAATTTATAGGCACTAAAAGTGGGTGCAACTATATTTGCAGGATACATTACTTGGGTACAAAAACCAAAGCGAAAATTGCCATGGCAGCAGTATATGTTGGCTGTGAAGCAGATGCCAGTAGGGAGTCACTTGATGAAACCCTGCAACTGGGTTTGCAGGATCACGTGCCAAACATGCTCACATACTGACAGACCGTGCTTTAGCAAACTGAAAGGGTTCAAGAACTTGCTGATATTTCACAGGTGAAACAATCTACACGCTGATGTTAGCGTAAGGTGAAACTGAGTGTAAGACTCACTGCTTGTGTGCTTCACAATTCTGTTCTAAAGCACCTACTGTTTTTCTTTCATTACCATGCCCCTTGAATGAGAATGCACATTGTTTAAAGTTATTACAAGTACAGTACCTTAAGGAAGAAAGAAAATCTATTGATGAAACAGAGGCTGATGAAACAGACACAAGTATTACCTAAGCATTATCTAAGACATAAGTACTACCTAAGAAACACATACAGAAGCATATCCTGTTCCTTAGTCCTGCAATTGCCATGCTCTTCTTATCTTGAAATCTTTCTTTTCTGAAAAGAAATCTTATCCATCTCTCCATAAATTTGAGTGGTCCCTTTTAAAACCTATTTTGTATATCAGTGATAACCTTTGCTACATTCAAAAATAATCTGTATACATTTGTGCTACAACTAAAAAAACATACCACATCTGCAACTGAGTTTGCAACTCACCTATGTAGCAGATGTGAGCCAAAAACTCATCATGAAGAGACAACTTTTTAGACAATACTAAAGTTGCAGACAACTGACTGCCTAACCATCCCATAATCTAACCAATTTGTAAGACCATGCAATTATAAGAGTTGTGGAGAACAAGAAAAACGAGTGACTTCACAACTTCTGTCCTAAACTTGCTTATGTAATGCATCAGTGCATGCTATGATCAGAGAGACAGTTTGCTGAGCACAAATGGAGAGCACAATCCAATGGGCATTGCCCCAACTGTGCCATTTGGCACTTAACTGATAAATGTGGCAATTAAATTTGATGTATCTGCTCCAGTGGTATTTTACACCCCTAAGATGTTGATCTCAGCAACTCACAGAGCTGGTCACAGTGTGTATATGCCTACAAATTCTTCCCAAAATGCAACTGAGAAGATAAAACTGATCTCTGACGCACATCCCTTTCAATACTCACTTTCCCTTTTGATCATCTCTGTAAAAGCTTGAGTGGTTTAATGAAGCAACGCAAGGAAGTACTTATAAAGTAGTGAAAGTGTGAAAAGAAATTGTTTAAATTGGTATGTGGAAGACTGCTATGTGGTACCAATGAAGCAGCAGCAACAGCCTGCATGCTTCTCATCACAGGAAGCGTGCTGGGTTGAAGCTTCTACTGGTGATGTTGAATTAGCTTTGCAGAGCTGCCGTGAAAATTTATCAGGTCAGCCGGAAAATAAATACTTATGCTTCCACGTTGTGACAAGGAAGGGGGATTGTGGAGGAGTGTATTAATTTGACTCATTTATTTAGGAGGGCGAGATGACATTACGTCCTTTAAAAGAGTGGATTATTTTAAGCTTCTATGTATGGCATTGCTTTTATAAAGAGGATCAATGGCTCCTCCCAAGCCACCCACGCAGCAAGCTAGCTGCTGCCAGATTTGCCTGCTCACATTTGGTTCTGATAGCACTTGGGAATCCCACCTGGGTGCACAGTGAGGTATTTTCACTCCTGTCCTAAGAGTGCAGCAGTCTGTTCCGCACACTTCATTTTGTCTGCTGGCTCCTGCTAGTTCTTCTATGACTGTGTCACGGGCTCTGTCCCCTCCATGCTGGAAAGCAGAGGGCTAGGTCTGATGGGCTTACCTGGAAATGTGTCCCAGCGATTACAGTTATGTAAAAGGCTTGCTACAGTGAAGTTCACTTACTTTTGCTGCTAGCACCCGTGAACGGTTCAGGATTTACTTCTAAGTGTAAAAGACTTCATTGATACAGCACAATTTCTCTACTCTAAACATATTCTTTCTCTTAAAAAGAGTGAGCAAGGGCTTTTGATTTTGCAACACAATCATTATGGCAATGTTACGCTCCTGACCCAGCAAGAGCCATAGATCACATTTTAAGGCTCTCTTTGATCAGAATGTCTTTACACCATATGCAGTTCATACCTACATTATTTCATCTGCCTTTCATCTGACATGGCATCTAGATTTTGCCTTTTGTTCCGCAAAGCAACTACAAAGCTATGCCTCCTATTCAGGGACAGCTTATTCTTAAAATGCAAATACAAATATAAGCATATGGAGTTCTGCACAAAGCCCTATTTACAGCTTTCTTTCTACCACATTCTCAACTGCAGCTGAAAACTGTCTAACAAAAATACCACGTTTGATTTTTCTTATTTTCAGTCATAAAAATATCATTCCTGCACTTAGGACTGTCACATAAGAATAACGCCCATCTCACTACAAATAAAATCTCGTTAAATTAAAACAACTGTAAGTAAAATATTTTTTCTTGCATCTTTCCTTTAGAAAGACTTCAAAGCAGTATACAAATGGATTACATTAGAACCATCTCCCACTAATTAAACAGCCATCAAAAGCAGCAGAACAGAGATATAGCAGCCATGCAAGACTAGAAGGATTCCACGCCGGTGTTTGAGGTAGGAGGAATTTAAAAAGCCAGAAATCATTATTTAAATTTGAATTTAATGAGGGAAGTGTGGTTAATACAGCTAACCACAAGTCAAGCCTGTGCTTGGCTTGAACCACAAAAGGAAAAATGCAGGCCTGCACCAGGCCATGCTGTGGGCTGCTCTGTGCGGCATAAAAGAGCTACAGGTATCAGACAGTACTGAAACATGGATTTTTTCCTTAATTCCAGGTTCAATAATGAACAACAGATGCTACTGGGCTTTCTATGTAACTGAGAGTAGTTACTTAGCCCTGCCTCGTTAAAACTATTTGAGCGGAGCTTTCACAACAGCCATCCAAAATCTGCTTGCAAATGACACCAAGCAAACTTAAAACTGCAGGACCTGAGCCATACAGCCAGACAAGGGATCTCGACAAAGCACTGCCTCCACACCTCGTGCAGGTAGGTGAAGGCTTCATTTCTGCACCCAAATCAGCTGCCAGTCAGTACGTATTCAATAGAGTTTGAAATCTTTGTATACAGAAAGTGCAATCCAAAGCTACTACTTTACACTGTGGTAAGGACTCTCAATACTTTCACTTTCTGAAACAAATTTCAAATGATAATTGGCCATTAAGAAAAAAACCAAATTTTTATTCATTTTGCTAATGATCTTGCAGATATAAAGCTTTATTTCACAGGGCAAAACACACCTTACGTTACTGAGGTTACAGTTTGTGTGATTGCTGGTGTGCCATTTCATCACATACTTCTGAAATCTGTCACTGCCAACTGTTGATGTGCTCTGAAGCTCTTTACTAGGTGTATGAAGGCACTTTCCATATGGCTCCAGTGAATTTCCATCATTTGCACACAGGTTTGCATGGATAGTATTAGTAAAGAAATACCCAGTACAACTGACTGTAGAATATGTAAAACACTCATTCAGATTTCAAGTTATTTAAAGCTAGAAAAAAAAAAAAAAAGCAGATTTTCAGTCTTTAATTAATTATTGCAAATAGTAGCCTAAAAGCAAGGGATATAAAGATTCTGAATTACAGAACTCTGTGAGACAACTGTGCTCAATATTGGGTAAAAAAATCCCTTCCTACACGAGTACTTTCCCCATTTACAATAAATGAATATTACACCCCCATTGCATAATATTGGTCCTACCATCTGATTTTTGTACCTAGTTTATTTTTAAAAACGGTCTTTATCTTTGCCCTCCATTCTAACTTATTTGTGATAATTTTGTAACTATTTGCTCCAGGAAAAGTTTGATTATAATCACATTGATTGACTTTTTTTTCTTTTTTTTTTAAAAATTGTCATACTGACACATTTCATGTAAGGATGTGTTGTTGTGCTTGCTTGTGTCTACACAATGCATTTGTGGTACATCTTTCATAATTATTGTATGAAAACATTGTAAACTTATTTGATGGCCACAGCCAGTACACTTCACCTTCAAAGGCAGACAAGTAGAACACGAAAGGAAAAAATGTTATTGTTGGATGCAAAGATCAGTCTGCTTGTCAAAACATGATTAGCATCTTATTTTAGCACTAAAACAAAGTCAGCGTAAGTAAATGGTGGTCATTTCTGAGAGGTGGCATGCTCTGTCAGTTCCTGGTGCCTTCCGAGGAAGTTGCAGGTGAACACCAAGTCTGAAATGCAGCCCCTAGGGTAATGACTGGCAATAAGGTAATTGGGAAAACAAAATATAAATGTATAATGAAACAATACAGGCTACACACCGTGCTGCACCTAGTAATTTCAGGCACTGTAAAACAAGCCCAGACATTGCACATTACAAGTTTCAATTGGTGTCAAAATGAATGCATCTTTGCTTCTCCCCAGTTCAATCCCCCAGCCCTAGACAGTTCAGGTCTCTTCCTAAGAAAGACTGGAAAAGACTCCCACCAGTGACAGCCAACATCATGAGCTACATAGCAACAATAAAAAAATGCTATGGAGAGACTCAAGGTACTTTTTACCTCTCTAGAGACTCAGTTTTGCCATCAGAGTACTGGCAGTACTGGCAGTAGGACTGCAAACTAGAAATGACACTGGATTCCCTGTAAAGCACTGTCGTCATTGGCCACTGGCCCAATCAATACAAGCATTCCTATTCTAACAGTATCAATATGTTCCTTCCTATGCAATCCTTTAAATGCAAGTAACTCAAGCATAGCAACTTAAAAATAGCAGCTATAGTGTTAATTTATGATTTTTCTACATGAAACAATTCTCTCCTTGGAAATCAGTGAACATAAGGCAGTGGATCCAGTGCAAAGTTTGATTACCCATATTAACGTATAATTGGGATCCTACATGTATGTGCTGTGAAGTGTTCATGTATAGCTACCATTGAATCCAAAAAAGCTGAACTAAAACCAGCTTTGTATATAGGACCTTCAGTCCTGGTATCTGACATGTTTCCTGACATCCCATAGAAAGACGAGGTGTCTTAAGGGTGATCAGAATGCCTGAGATTGCAAGGGAGAAAAGAAGCTGCTTAGGTGGGGAAAAAAAAAAGAACAACATAAAATGCTTTGTTTCCAGATCTGGAGATTTTGCCAAAGATGTAATAACATCAGTGTGCATCTCCAGTATTCAGTTCCCTGCTTGGCTGCAGTCTGTGGGTGATTATGGCTCTTGATCTACATGTGCTAACTTTTGATCTGTAGAAAAGTGCTGTTACTTTTTATTGTCAAGGGATGTTGCACTGTTAAATTCATTAAAAACAGAGATGAACCAACAGGGCACCTTCTTCTGTCTTTCCCCTCCAGCAACTGAAATCACATAATCTCAAAATAATCCCAGCTGTACATTTAAAGGGAAAGCTTTTACAGCCCAATCTTTGCAAATGCAACAAAAGCAGAAGATAAAGCGAGGAAGGCATCACACACTCTCTGACCAAGTCATACAGCAATAAAATTCAATATATTTCTTTTCAGAAGAGCACTTCAGCTTGCGAAGCACTTATCCTTGTTGCGGCCTAGGGTGGGTTCAGATTTAGAAGTTCTTCCCTAAGTTTGGTTGAATAATAAAACTGCCTGAGCCTGCAAACTTAGAAGCCCATACATGTATTTATGGAGTTTATTACATATGCGGTTCTTCTCACCTTTAGTGGGAGTGGAAAAGTAAATTTTATTCTTTGAATAGAATAAATCCATGCTATAAACATAGGTATTATGTAGACCTCTTAAATAAAATCATAATTTAACAGGAACTGTCAACCTCTCTCCTAACAGCTTATGTTACAAATAAAAATAGAGTTCAGGCTAATAAGTAAAAATCAATGGTTTTAGATGCACAGAGCAGCACTTGCCAGAAGGATGCAAACAGATAAAAGGGAACTTTTCCTCTGAATTAACTCAGAACAAGTAAATACATACAGACTTCAGATTAAAGAAATTAGAGATACTGAACACATTTTGAAATAGGCAATACCTAAAATATTTTGATAGAGATGACGTGGAGGGTTTTATAGGATTCACAATATTTACCTCAGCAATCTCTATCCTTCTTGCAAGTTCATCAAGAGAAGAAAAGCTGTCATCTAGTGATAAAGCTTCCAGTGAGTTGTAAGATGCTCGTTCAGGTGAAATATCTGGGACAGTGTCAAATGCTTCTTGATTTGCTAAGTTTGCAAATGATTCTTCAGTGTCTATTATGTTGCCATTTAAAAATCTGAGATAGACATCTTCTCGTTCTTCACTTTTTACCTTTTCCTCCTGTCCTGCTGCTCTCTGCATTTCCTTGCATAGTCGTGAATGGGCAGGACTTTCCTGCTCAGATACTTTACTGCTTTCAGAGCATACGTTGGAAGCAGTTCTGTCCTGGGAAAATTGTTCATCGTCGTCATTATCAGGCCGTTTCTGTAGCTGGTTTAAATCGCTGTTTCCAAACTGGCCACTAGTGATTTCTGAAGAGCTAGCAACAAGTTTTGATCTGAGAAGATTTTTATCAGCTTGTACATTTTTATCAGCAGAAACCAAATCAGCAGGCATATAATCAGCATCTGTTAAAACCAAGGCGTCTACCATTGGCCTGGGAGAGAATTTCACTCCGGGTTTGCCAGCTGTCTCTTCTATTTTTTCCGCATCCTTAGAGATCTGCTTTTCTCTCAGCAGCAAACTGTTATCTTTGCCAGCATCCCCTGATGATAAACAGCCCGGAGAAGGCCTGCCCACTGTCCCTGTGGACTGGGTGTGCGGCTCCAGTGCTGATTCTGCACTGCGGTGCTGCTCCTCCATGTGGTCCTTTCCTGCAGCCACCAGAAGGCTCACTGCCTCCTCCTGCTCCTCAGTTTGCTTTTCACCGCTAGGACGGGTGCTCGGCTGTCGATCTTCTTTCTTTGGTCGGTTGCCAGGACAAGTTTCAGTACCTAAGTGCAAGAGGAAAACAGTTGCAATGTTTTTAGATGATTCAAAGCATCGGCAGAAAGAGTATACAGTGATTTGATAATGCTGTCATCTAACCCTTGAGATGCGCTCCCAATAAAGGACAGGACTCTGTGCTCCAGGCAGATAAAAATGTTGTGGTCTGAAAAGCTGACTCCCGATTTGACAAAGCGTTTATGTGCATTCTTACAGGCTGAGCACACACTTCAGTGTCCACCTGAAAAGAGAGAGTCACTCCCATGCTTTCAGAAAAATATGTACTCGAGTGTCTTTCTGAACAGCTAGGCTCCTTCTAAAGCACATTTTAGTGTGCCACATTATGGAGGCCTGAAGCACAAATAAGTGCATTTAATAACTACTGAAAGCTGTATTTTGATGCCAATGTATCTACCACTCAGGAAGATCTCATTAGTTCTTTAAGAAAGCTGAAATCATGCTAATTTAATATATTTTAAATTACATCATTTTAAGTGGGTAATGATTTTGATTAATTGTAAATTAAAAATCCACTTATAATATTTTATGTAACACTGTGTAACAAGTCGCTTTTTGGATGTTAGCTTACATATTAAAAATGGGATTCAGCTTATTTATGTGTTCATCTTTACAATACAAATAGAAACCGATTTCTCTCGTGAAATTTCAGAGAGAACTGAAAGGAATTCTACATGGCTTGTGATTCACCTACCATTGATATGATCTGCTAATGAAGGAATAGATGGCTGGTCTGAGTTGTGCATGAAATTACTAGACATTGGCCATTATAAGAACCTCAAAGTCAAGTCTTGCCCTTAAGGATTATGAAGAGAAGAGAGTGGTCAGAGCTAACTCTAGCAGAAATGGTCTTTTTTTCCATACTTTACTAAAAACTACTGTTGCAGTAATAGTAGTAGCTCCAAACAAAAAATTCCTACTTCTAGAAAATGCTTGTTTGCATGTTTTTGGGTCACATCCAAAAGCAGAAAGGTCTCGTGGATAGATTAACAAAGAGATCAAACACTGCCCTCATTAACAGAATGTGTTCTGACAATGACTGAAGATCTCTACGATAACCTCATCCTCCCCCACCTGTTAAAACATCACTTTAAATCTGAGCGCTTTCCTTCACTTTTTACGTGAAACAAGGTCACATTCTTTTGTCTTTCAAGAAATGTTCACATTAATTCATTTTATTGAACGCTCTTATTAAATTCCATGCTATCCCCATTTTCAAAGACAATGGAAGTGCAAGGCAGCATAAAAAAGACAGGATGGGGAATTAAAAAAAAAGAATATCCAGCCATCTCAAAATGCAGACAAAAATCAGAACGAGATTTAACACTTGGAAGGGTACTGAGAACCTGGCTTATGAATGAAGAAATGGCTATGAGACAGGGACTTTCTGAAAAATAGGCACAGATGAGTAGGTAGCCCAAGGGATTTGTAATGGGATCCTGAGCCTCTCACGTGTGGGTCATGAGGTCAAACACAACCTGGATTATTAGGACAAGATTTTGTTATCATCTGTCAATTTTTCCTAGTGAATACATCTACGTTACAATAGGCATCTTTGCTGGCAGTGCCAATTGTAACATCAAAGATTAAATGGAATCAGAAATTAAATAGAACTCATTACAGTGAAAGATGGCCCTTGAGCTCTACAGGCTTGTATTCCTAAGAAAGTAATAAATGATCCCAGCATTGCTATCTGCCTACAGAGGTACAAGAATCGAGATGCAATGATCACTGCTACATTGCATGTCAAATTTTCAGCACCTTTTACTGTTCTTTATACTCATTTCAAAACACTTCCTAAGACAACTCATGCCTGCTATACGCTCAAGGCAAGTTAAGACAAATACTCAAAGACTTAAATTAGAAAAGATGCTTTTCTTACTAAGTTAAATGAAATGTACCAATCAAGGTGGCAGCAATTTCTATCTGTAAGAGATATAACAAAGGTTCTACAGAAAATTTTCTAGCAGCAAAAGCACTTACAGCAATTAAGAATTTTTTTTTTCCTAAACAGAGTTCCTATACAACTGTCAACTTGTTTTGTTCATGGCAGAAACCCGTAGTCACCACTTTTTCATTCTGTTACTACAAGGCTGTCTAGCAGAGAGTGCTGACAATGATACCTGTGAAGAATTCACACACGCCCATCCTTGTCTCTCCTCCCTACGCACCTCAGGACAGCTAATAAGAAGTTTATCCCCACCTTGGAAATCGGGCTACATGTGTACGCGCCGCAAACTGATGCTAAGTGTGCCATTAAACTCATCATTTCTTTAGAGAATGCTTCATGACACATGAACTCGATTATCGACACATGAACACCAAGGTCATTAAAGTTTTCAGTTAGAAACCAAATAGATTGATGAATATAGAATGAATCTATTCTCATCCTTTAATATACACACAGCTTTAATGGGCCAGTCCCTCTGCTGATAGAATCAAAGATAAAATCTTCCAGAGAGAAGAGAGTAATAGAATATGAATTCACATGAAGGACTGCCTTCAAGCCACTTGAGTGTACCCTTTTCCTGTCTTGCTGTAAGTCATATTTTTACTAGCAGTACAGTAGCTCACCCTTCATTTTGGCAGATACATTTCTATGTAGAAAGTCGGAAAAGAAAAACAAAACAAAACAAGATTCATTCTGAGGTAGAAAAAAAGCCCACAAAAGCAGAGGGTAAGCATTTTAAGTTTGCAATGTAAAGGCCCATGCTTGGCCAATGCTGGGCCAATGCTGAAGAGGCTAGTTTAAATATTATCAACTGTAGAGTTGTAGTAGCATAGGATTCTGCTGGAGTTCAGACAAAATGATGAATTATGAAATGCAAATGTTGCTTCTAGTCCTTATCACTGGAGCTCTGTACAATTCAGCCACAGTTTGGCTATTTTTTTATGCAGCACTCAGTGAAATATACAAATCCAGAGTTATGGATCATCTCTGTTCCTTTTCTGCACTAAGTTCATACTGGTGTCCTCCTTACACAAATCCTAACTGTGACAAAAGCCCCATGCTGCTGACATATGGACACTGCGAGGGGCAGCATTACCACTGTTTTCATTAAAAGATGCACTGCCTTAACAAATCAGTAGATCAGCCAGGGTAAGGAGTTATCAACAACATACTACCCTTGTGCGAGGTGTCTCTTGTAAGTCCTATTTAATCTTGAGTTACACTCGAAATATTTCTAACTTTGTATTGAAAAAGTATTTAGCACTGCTAGAACAGCTTTCTATTGATATACATAATTTTATTCATTTGCAAACATTCCAAAGGAACCCAAAGGTTTTGATGATGTTTTGAAAACACAAAGAAAGTCCATTTATACCATCATTTATACCACCAATTACACGTTAATTTTAACATGCCTAGATGCTGTGATTTAACAATGACACAAAATGGTACTTAACTCACAAGTCTCAAAAGCTCAGAATTTTTGCTCTCCAGAAAGCTGTTGTTCCTACTTGGAACAAAAACAACGACCAAATTGAAGTCTAATGTTTTTCCACGTTCTTTCAATCATCCAAAACTAAAAAAGCATTCAGTCCTTTCGATCTGCTTTCTGAGTTGTAGAGAATGTTTGTTCTGTGTTTTGTTTTTGGTTTGGTTACTTGAACAAAGACAGAGAAGGGGCAATACAGTGGTCATGGCAGAAGAGGATGAAGATGAGAAGAATCCACATATTTAGAGAATTGCCATTAACTCCAAATTCTCCAGAACTTTCTGGATTCAGGATGAAATACACTTGTACAATAGTTTATGTTGAAGGGGGCCTCTGGATGGTATCTAGGTCAACTCTCATCTTGTGAGAAGTTACAGCTGTTTTTGAGGAAATGTCCTCAGTTTAGGCCATTTGTGGCAACTTGAATACAGCATAAAAAAAACCATCTTAAGCTGAGATAGAAGATGAAGTGTAGCATAGTAGTCAAACAATGCTCTTTTCCTCTCTGTCTCCACTGTAACAATTTACTAATTTTCAATGATTTCAACACATTACTCAAATAAAGCAGCTGCAGCCCCAAGGCAAGAGGAGGAAAATGAGGGTGACATAAAAGCATGTACTGAAAAAAAGCAGCTGAAATATAGCTTGCTCTTCTGGACTCCCAAAAAGCTCCTTAATTTTCTGTTCTCTTTACAGAAAGATGTGGCTTATAATCAGTAACAAAAACCGAAAC